ACACGGATCACCGCGCCCGTTGACGAACGACACTCCACCGCAGCCATTGTCCTCAGTTTCCATGGCGTAAGATCCAACCAGAAACGAACCCCTCACCCGTCCACCACCGCCGTCTTCCAGTGCCAAGCTTCACCACATTCCGAGAATGGGGGTCCATGATCCATCGCCATGAGCACCAAAGGGTGGCCACTGAGGTTTGATCTCAGGGTCTGCCGATGTCGCAGCGTCGGGATGGGGGATGTAACTCACCAACTGAACTGTCACAGTGTCGAGGGACCATGCCGCCCTCACCGACAAATAGGAACCGCCCTTTGTCCGATGACTCGTCTCGTATGCCGAGATGTGTAAGGCGACCAACCTTATGAGCTTCTTTTGATTCAATCTTCAGACGAGACCACGACAGAAGTGGCCGTACAAGCTTCGGTGAGTCGTTTGCTATCTGTGATCTTGGACAAGCCGACCGAGAGTGCTGAGCCAGACTCACCATGACACAAGGTAATAACGGCGAAAAGTCAAAATTGGAGGAACAATGGCAATATGATTAGCCAAGGACAAAGGCGTCACAGAGTAAAAGGGTAGGTAAAGACTGTACGCAAAATTATCAGATCCTCTCGACGAATTAAAACCGAGCCGGGAATTTATGCCTCAATGGAACCTCGCACCGTCGCTGCAACCGCCGTCCGTGTCACGGCTATTCGTCCAATCGTCTCGGGGCAGTTCATCAGGGACGCAAAGATCGGTTTGATCAGGAGGTACTTGATAAGATGTCACCACCCTCCATTCCATCTCGCCCTAATCCCCATTACAGCGCCTGCTGCTGCTGCTCCTGCTCCTGCTTCAATGATTATCCACACCACCATCAACATCCATACATGATACCACACCATTCCGCTTCAGCCGCTGCTTCCCCTTCCTTCGTTCCGCCCAGGATACGCCAACATAAGCTCACATGAGATGCCGAATTTTCTCAACCCTTGCCCATCGTGGCTATCCGATAGCTTCTGTCCTTCACCCGTGCCTGGTGAGACTCAAACGGCTCCAGCGAAAAACTTCTCTGGTAGACACGGAGACCCGAAACGCATCTCGTTCAGATCGTCACGCCCCCCAAACCCCAAGCTGCAGTCCAGTTGCTCCCCCCATTCGCCCCCAAAATCCAACAAACTTGCGCAATCAGATCGGCCCTTCATCCACATTCGAACTGATCCAAGTGGAGGCTACCATGTGGGAGACCGGAGAACATGACATATCGCGCCAAGGGGGAGCGCCAGTCCAAGTGCTACCTACCTCACGGCCTACGGTAATTGTCGGCGCTCATCACGCCTGGGAGCCTGAGGTACGGATAACAGAGGTATACACTTTTTTCTTCCCTCCCTCCTTGCAAGGGAGACCTGACCGCCGCCGAGTCAGGGGTACGGGCAATTCGGCCTCCGTGCCGTAATCCTCACTAATAGTTTCCTCTAGGCCTTGCTAGTGGTGAGTTAGAAACGACGCCTGTGTTCGTATCCAGGTGTTTTGCGTCGTATGTTTTTGGAGATGGGCGTAGATACAGTCAGACGCAGCCATGCATCTCTGTTGCATTCTGCATACCTACTCTACTGACTGGACAGAGTAAAGATCTCTACAGATCAACCACCGCCAATAAAGGCCTCTGTAATAGTGACACGTCCTAACAACCAAAAGCCGAACCAAATGCTCCAAAGATGCGCGCTCGGCATTGCCCAATCCAACTTGCCAAAAACCCAAAGGTTGCGCAACCGTGTCCACTGACACAGCTGTGGACACCGCCAGTGGAGCTCCTTCCCTGCACAACTGCACTGTCCAGGCCCCCTAAAATTCCCACAGTGATCTCTCCATCCCCGCGTAACTCGCCCAAGGCTGGGAGATGCCCATTCCACTCCGACCACACGCCAATGTGAACCGCCCAATCGACATCACGAGCTGCACAACATCACTCTGCAGCAGCCACGCAGCAGAAAGAGGGGACTCATTAACCCAACCACCACACCACACCAAACCTCAGATACCCAAAAACCCACGACGGTGACACACTAGTAGAACGCCGCCGGTCCCTCCCAACAATTCCCGATCGCAGCTCCCACCGTCACCCTCGCGGCGGGTCCCATCTTTTTTTTTCCAGTCTTCATGAACTGGACACCACGACCTTAATCCAGCCTTGCTCCGAGCTGAAACCACCTTACGCCGACGACGACCGACCGAGCCGCACCACTCCAGGGCTCCTCATCGTGGGAAAAGAAGGCCAATTGGCAACTGCTTGCGCCGGGAGCACACCACACCCATCACAACGCAGAGCCCGAACGCGGAGCACACCCCCAAAATGGACGTCCAATCCCCCCGCCAGACAGCCGCCTTCCACCTCCCCTCCTCCTCCGGCTCCTCCACCACCGATGCCGCCGCCGCCACCGGCCCCGGAGCCACCGCCGCAGCCGACGACTTCGACGACGACGGCGCCCCGCTCCCCTTCCCCGCCGCCCTCCCGCGCTCCGACTTCCTCGCAAAGGACTTCCACCCGGCAAACTACCTCTCCGCCCTGCCGCACCGCCACCAGACCCTCGACGACCTCAAGGCCGAGCTGCGCGACCGCAGCGCTGCCATCAGCGCCGAGCTGCTCGAGCTCGTCAACGCAAACTACACCGCCTTCCTCTCCCTCGGCAACGAGCTCCGCGGCGGCGACGAGCGCGTCGAGAACGTCCGCGTCGCCATGCTGGGCTTCCGCCGCGCCGTCGACGAGATCAAGGCCCGCGTGCGCGCGCGCGGCGAGGAGGTCGGCGGGCTGAGCGAGGAGCTGCGCGAGGTCCGCCGGGGGATTGAGGCGGGTAGGAAGATGCTGGAGCTGGATGAGAGGGTGGCGGCGTTGGAGGAGCGGCTTGCGCTGGCGAGCTTGCCGGGGAAGAAGGAGGATGAGGAGTGGGACGAGGATGAGAGTGAAGAGTCGGACGAGGAGGAGGAGGGCGATCATGGGTTGGTGGGCAGCAGTCCACCCAAGTTGGCTGGGTTTGCGCAGGATTACTGCATCATTGAGGCTTTGGCGGATGCTATTGGGCGAGATGTGCAGTTTGTGGTCAAGACGGAGGCGCGGATGACGAGGTGTCGGAACACGATCCTGCTCGACCTCGGCACGGCGATGAAGGAGACGCGCAAGGCGGGCAAGAGGGGCCAGCCGAGAGTCGTCAAGTATTTGGGACTGTACGGGCTGCTTGATGCCCAGGCGGAGGCGATCAAGGCTCTCAAGAGCAACTGAGCGCACAAGGGAAAGGACTGGCAGACAAATAGCGATGCATATGATACCCAAAAATCTCCGACATGTTCTGAAAGCGCTGTGCCGCTGCCACTTTGATACACGTGTAATAAACATATATATGGTACATTTCTTTTGTCATCTAAAGCCCTCCTTTTTGGTTGGGATATAATTCGTACATATTACATGACGCCAGACAGAACCTGCGGGGTAACCTTCTCGTCCGTCGAGTCAAAGTTGCCGTTCAAGCTGAACCCCGGTCCTTGCGAAGTACTCAGCACCACCTCGTGAACGTCCTTGTGCGTGTCGAGCTGCGCAATGTCCTGCTTGATGTGGCTCACAAACGCCTTGATATTCGACGCCAGCATCTGGGGCGTGAAGCCCAGCTGGCCGATGGCGAGGCGGATGACGCCCATGCGCTCGCGGTAGTCGTCGGCGCCCATCGTCTCGCGGATGGAGCCGGTGATGTTGTCGGTAATGGTCTTCATGCGGCGGTTGGGCATGAGGCCCTTGGGGCCGAGCAGGCGCCCGAGGTTGGCCTTGTTGAGCGCGGCCTCGCTGTCGACGTGGCAGATGAGCTTGTTGAAGGCGAGGTCGCCGTTGCGGATGGCCTCGAAGACGGTCTCCTGGCCCGCGATGACGGCGCCCGCTTGCAGGGCCTGCTGGGCGACGGCGGAGCCCTCCTCGCAGATGACGCCGACGCGGACGTCCGACTTGACGGGGTTCGGGAGGCGGATGCGGTTCTTGACGACGTTGCCGTTGCGCGGAGTCTTGAGGTGGACGTGGAGCTCGTACTTGATCGCCTGGGGCGGCTTGCCGACCTCGAAGGCGCGGAGGTAGCTGTGGGTGCTATGTTAGCTACAGACTTCCGTGAAGACAGGTGGTGGGAGACATACCGGACAGCGTCACACAGCGAGAACTGAGGGCAGCCCTTGATGTTGTAGGTCTTGTAGTCCTTGGGCAGCTTCCTCTTCTTCTTCTCCGTCTTCTTGGGTCCTACACTGGCGCATCGTGTCTGGGCCACGGATGGGACGAGGAACCGGGGTATCGTAGAGGCCGTCGGTCTGGCGGAGCTGGCAAGGCTCAAACGGGCCATGCCGGCCATGCATTGAGACGTTGACGCCATCGTGAGTTGGGATATGTGCGAGAGGCGAGTGCAACACCACCAAGCCAGACCTCGAGTATCGCCTGTGAAGCTCTGGCCGAAGACTGCAGAAAAAATGCTGTGGCCTGGAGTCTCAGGCAGAGAGGTCGTTATCTTATCGGCTTCGGGGGCATCTCGCTCCACATCGGTGTGTTCGGTACGTACTCCAACGTCAATGCCGAAACACACCACTGTCACCAGAGCTTACCAGAGCTGAAGAGTCATATCAAAACCTGAAATTTAATGTGAAAAGAAGTATATAAAGCAGCGATATCGGCGCCTTGTATTTCAACGTGCTTATCATCCACCTTCCATTGATTGTATTGCAGTATCCTTGGGCACTCGAATTCAGACGTCATACCCCTAGCCACGAATAGTACCACTCAATCTTGGGTCAGTTTCTGCTGCTCGGTCAAGCACCAATATCGGCCGAGCGCTCTCGGTGAGTGCCCGTGGCGTGGTGTTACCCCTCCATCAATTTTAACCCCACCACGAAATATCAGCCCCCCCAAACTTTTGACTCACGAGACACCAGGACCGTCCTGTCTATCCCTCACCTCGAACCCCCGATAGCCCCAATTGGATTCGACTACCGCAACCATGAAGGCCGAGGAGCTCCAGAACCTCCCCACCGCCCTGAGCGGCGACTTCAAGTCCATCGAGCCGCACCTGCGCGCCTTCGACAAGCACATGACCCTGCGCACCTTCGTCGAGGGCTACTCTCTCGGAGATGTCGAGACCAAGATCTGGCAGACGCTAAAGTCCAACAAGGCTGCTATGGGCTTCATCCGCAAAGGAACTTTGGCTAACCTGACCCGCTGGTGCGTCACTCGGCATCTTGCTCGTTATCTAACAAAGCTAAACTTGCGATCTACAGGTTCACCTTCATCGAGACCAGCTTCCCCGAGATCCAGGCCGAGACCAAGGCCGCCGATGCCGCTCGCAAGGCCAAGGTCGCCGCCGCCTCCAAGGCCGGCGCCAGCTACTCCCTCGCCCTCCAGAACGCCGAGCAGGGCGTCGTCACCCGTTTCCTGCCCGAGCCCTCAGGATACCTCCACATCGGCCACGCCAAGGCCGCCCTCCTGAGCGACTACTTCGCCCACGAGGCCTACAAGGGCCAGCTCCGCCTGCGTCTCGACGACACCAACCCCGCCAAGGAGAGCGAGGAGTTCCAAGATGCCATCATCGAGGACCTCGCCATGATGGGCATCACCCCCGACGCCGTCTCCTACACCTCCGACTACTTCGACTACCTCTACGAGACCTGCGTCCGCCTCATCAAGGAGGGCCACGCGTACGCCGACGACACCGACCAGGAGACCATGCGCAACGAGCGCGGCGAGGGTATCGAGTCCAAGTGCCGCAACCGCTCCGTCGAGGAGAACCTGCGCATCTTTGAGGAGATGAAGAACGGCACCCCCGAGGGTCTCAACAACTGCATCCGCGCAAAGATCTCCGTCGACAACGTCAACAAGGCCCTGCGCGACCCCGTCATCTACCGCTGCAACGTCGAGGACAAGCACCACCGCACCGGCAACACCTGGAAGATCTACCCCATGTACGACCTCGCCTGCCCCGTCGTCGACTCCAAGGAGGGCGTCACCCACGCCCTGCGCTCCACCGAGTACACCGACCGCAACCCCCTGTACCAATGGTTCCTCGACACCCTCAAGCTGCGCCAGGTCTACATGCACGACTTCTCCCGCATCAACCTCATCCGCACCTTCCTCTCCAAGCGCAAGCTCGCCAAGATCGTCAACCAGGGCACCGTCTGGGGCTGGGACGACCCCCGCATGCCCACCATCCGCGGTGTCCGCCGTCGCGGCATGACCATCCCCGCCCTCCGCGAGTTCATCATCAAGCAGGGCCCCTCCCGCAACGTCGTCAACATGGACTGGAACTCCTTCTGGAACATCAACAAGAAGGTCATCGACCCCATCGCGCCCCGCCACACCGCCATCCTCGAGAAGGACGCCGTCAAGGTCAAGGTCACCGGTGCCGAGGCCCCCGCCGCGCCCCGCACCGAGGACAAGCCCAAGCACCCCAAGAACCCGGACGTCGGCACCAAGAAGGTCGTCTTCTCCAACGAGCTCATCCTCGACCAGGCCGACGCCAAGAGCTTCAAGAAGGACGAGGAGATCACCCTCATGGGCTGGGGCAACGCTTTCGTCCGCGACATCGCCGCCGGCGAGATTATCCCCGAGCTCAACCTCGAGCTCAATCTCAAGGGCGACTTCAAGACGACCGACAAGAAGGTCACCTGGCTCTCGACGCAGGGCACCAAGCTCGTCAAGGCCGAGCTGTGGGAGTTTGACTATCTCATCAAGAAGGACAAGCTCGAGGAGGACGACATCCTGGAGGAGGCGCTCAACCCCGTCACGTCATCCATGGAGGTGGCGCTGTGCGACGCCGGTGTTGGTGAGCTGAAGAAGGACGACATCATCCAGCTGGAGAGACGGGGCTTCTTCCGCGTGGATAAGGGTCTGGACGAGGGTGACAAGGTTGTGCTGTTTGCCATCCCTACTGGCAAGTCGAAGTAAGAAAAGCAAGGTATTCTTTTGTTGGTAGACAGGGCATGAGAAGATGAATCGAAAGCATGAACCCAAGTATGTTGGCTGCCTGATGTTAGACGTGATGTTTGGTGATCCTGGACAAGATCGAGGCGAGACATGGCGAACCACATTCCTCCCAGAACGGGGCGTCTGTAAGTCAACGTCGCAGCCTGACGGGGAATTGTGCCGCGCTATTTGACCGCATATGGGGGAATGCATGACTGGTGGTTTCACTTAGAAAAGCCTTACATGCCGCAGCATCGTTGCACTCCTACGGCTGGTGCGTTCAGATGTCAGCCAAGCGAATCCTGCGTCAAAAGTGTAGTCTTTCAGCTGGCTGGAGATTGAGAGCCGGCTATTGGCTATGTTCCATGTAGTGTGCACGATGATTAACGGTGTGGTAAGACGCGTATAATGATCCGTGAGGTACAGCAGCGTGGTTGATGGCTGTGCCACATGAATGCATCTACCCAGTCCCATAAAGATCGGCAACCTCTCGCGCTCTCGCTCTTGCGAGGCTGCCTTGTCATAAATCTCCCTGTCAAGTCTCGCCGTCCCTCTTCCGACCATGGCAAGTCTTCTTGATCAGGAGCCTCCTATCATGGAAGCAAACTCGTCACAATCCCGACTGCTCGGCGAACAGGAAGAAGACCAGGACATATGCGACTGTATTTCCCGTGGCGAGCAAACGGATTCCATTGCCTCTGAGAACTCCTCCGGAATAATGAATGAGAGCATGGCCGGCAACGACGCGGAAGAATTCCACACCCCGTCGCAGGAAGCATCATTCTGGTACAGAAGACGTCTGGGGAACACGGGCGATACCGCAACAGCTGCCATCTCTCGCGAAGATTCTGCTGCTTGGTCCCTCTTCACCAGGGAGGTTGAGAGTTTCGCTCCTAGCGAGGCGGGAGAAATCAGCCCGGAGACATATCGGAATCTGCGCAAACTGGACACTTTCGCGATGTGGACGGTGGAGGTCTTCGCTTTGATCATCTCAATGGTTTCTTTTGGGGGCATTGTGGCGCTTCTAGTCGCGTACGATAACGAGCCGAACCCTGGCTTTACAGAGGTGATCAGCATCAACGCCATCATTGCTATTTTCTCTACCATTCTAAAGGCAACGCTGCTATTTGTCATATCTGAGGGTGAGCATATCTCTATGAACTCATGAACTAGGCTTAACGACTAGGAGGTATGGGTCAGTTGAAGTGGCAATGGATGGAAAGCCCGCGATCGGTTCGAGACATAGAGTGCTACGTGAATGCCGGAGCAGGCATAGGAGGACCGTTGAAGTTTCTTTTCTTCACTTGGAAGCCGTTGGTGATCCCCGAGATAACGTGGTGAGCCCCACGCACGATGTATCGGCAATCGCTCAACGATATCACAGGACAATCAGTATGCTGGGAGCAATCATTGTCATTGCTTCGTCTGCAATTGGCCCCTTTTCTCAGCAGGCCTCGGCCACATCCGCTTGTGAAGGGCTTTTGGCAGGAAAGACTGCCAAGGTGTTCGTTGCCGATGTAATAGAGGCAAGTATGCCTTCCCAAATGCGAGGGATCGCCATGAAGGGCTTCATGTACGGGGCATCAGACAACTTGGTCGCAACGCCCGGTCTGTTCGAATGCTACACCGGAGATTGTGATTTCAAGCCCAACAAATCATTAGCCTTGTGCAACAGCTGCATCAAGGAAACTGTGAAGTTGGAAAGTGCTAGCAGAACTCACCAAACCGACTACGAAAAGGCTGGTTTCACAGCTGGTTGGCCCAACCTGGTCAATGAAAACGACAAATCGTATGTGTTCAGGATGAACACGATGTTTAACCCTATGCCCAAAGAAAATTCGTCGACAGGGCCATCGATCACTGACTCCTTACTTGGAGAGATTATGACCGTCTCTACAACCACGATTACTACTTCAGATCCCATTGACGGCACACGCAATCCTCGAGCAGATGGATCAGGACGTATTCAAAGAGAGAGCCTCAGCATCTTGACTGTCAACTGTACGACGTACCCATGTCTTCGTAGCTATGAGAACAAAGTCAGCAACGGGTCCTTGAGAGAGCACGTCGTTTCTCAAGCCCCGCTACATATCATGTCCAATATGGGACGCGAAGGCAGCCCTCCCAGAGATGAGAATTATGGGGATTTTATGTTCTTCCAAGAGCCATGTGTTTACCAGAAGCAATGGCTCACCGCCGAAAACATATCGAGCGCGGACAAAACGCTATTCACGCCAAATGGAGATTGGATATTTTGGAGAATAAATGGCGCCTTAGCCCGCGTTCCGAACGAATGCACGAGGGTATTTAGTGCTAATACCTACGGAAGTATACAAAAGTTTGTCGACAGAACTATTAAAGGATCCTGCAACGTCTCAGGCTCTGAAGATGATTTGGAACAATTATTAAAGACAGTAGATTGTGGAGAGAAATGGTGGCTAGACTCAGTATTCGATGGGGGGGAAGCGTCATTTGCATCGATCTCCACAGCGTTTGACGGCATGGCTACCGCGATAACAAGTCTCGTACGCACCACTGGCACCAACTGGACGCGAACATCGCAAGGTTACGTCAACGGCACAATGAAAGAAACCACGGTCTGCGTGAAGGCTTACTGGCTTTGGATGATCTATCCCGGATCGTTATTGGTACTTACGATAAGCCTTTTTGCGACGACCTATGCGCAGAATATCCTGGGCAGGCGGGAACGGCCAGTTTGGAAATCGTCTGTACTGCCTCTCATATTTTACAATATCAGAAAACAAAAAGGGCATTCCGAAGTCCTGAAAAACGATTCACACAAAAAGACCGCTTTATTACAGCTTTTCGAGCTGGAGAAAGAGGCGGATGATACAGTGGTTCGGTTTGACAATGACCAAGACTGCCCCGCGTTCATTGAAGATCAAGTGGAAGAGAAGTCAGAAGCGACACTCATTGAACCTACTCAAAGTGCCCCTCGAGTGAGCTTCTCGAAGTTCGGGCTTGCGATGCAATCTATACGGGCCTTCTTCCGTAGATCGCAGAAGCCAAAAACGCCACCTTACGAGGTCGGATCGAAAATTGCTTGAGTGGCCTTGTCCAAAGTCCCACACCAAGGCTCAGGCGGCATTCGGGAAACGCGATAGGGACTGAGAATAGTCATGTTCAACTTTCCCTCAGCGTAAGGATACATACCTTTCGCAGGTTGGATGTCTCATTGTTGAGTTGGGGTTCCTGCTCCGCAGCGTTTGGCCATAATCAAACCCTGGATCCAAAAGATCCTCGACCTGCCGAAACCTTTTTGGAAACAGCGGACAGTATCCCCGCTGATGGTGCAGGAGTACCCAGCCGTGCCCATGGAATGCAACTCTCACAGAAATTCAATGTTCCACCCACTACACACAAAATTAATGACAGCATAGACACTCGCTGTAGACCATTTATTTGGCATGGGACCCGTGAACAAGCCGCGGGTCTGTAGAGGAAATTTTATGGCTAGATCTATAACGGGCACTACCAGCGGACGTCGCTCACGAGATGGTTATCTAGGCTTTAGGGCCAGCAGACTTCAACACATTCATATTGCTGTCCTCGGTACCTTCATTCTATGCAGCGTTCGTATTGGATGGCATCGTGGTTCTAACCGGGACTCGCCATGATTCAACGCTAGGCCCAATAGCCAGAAAGGCTTCAGGAGCAAGACTTCAGCCTATCCAAAGGGTTCAGTGACAGAGGTTTGCTGAGCTCAATATAAAGGAAGCCCTGGTTCAACTGGCCAAAACAGGCTGCAGGCCGTTGAAATCAGGAATACGTGAACTGTTGTATGGACACTGAAAAACTACAAAATTCTAACGATTTCTTCGTCACTCTCGGTCACAGAAACTTCTCGTTCGCGGCTTCAGTCCATGCCCCTACCCAAAAGGATCTTCTTTGTATCCGACCCCCGCTTCACTCTATCACAAGTCTTCTCAATCTAATGACCAGCATTGACATATTCGGGTATACAATACTTGCCCAAGTTTTCATACCTTCGCGTACAATTGACCTGTAACTACCGTTTTTGATGCTAGGATAGACAAAGCAACTCGTTTTGACGAGTTGTCTATTTTCATAAGCCGTCATGATAGTCTATTGTCTATCTGAAAATGCTGTTTGCTGTAATCAAATGATTTGGTCCTGCAGCGGGTTGCATGAGCAGTTGCCGCCTAGTCAACAGTCACCTGGTTTCTCCAAAGTCTTGACGCCTGCCGTTTTTGAAGTAGCCAAGACCGCCAAGGCCGCAGGTTCATATCTTCCGTCTTTCATCCCAACCATCGGCCGAGAATCGAATTCCTCTCAAGGAAGGCCAAGATGTGGGGTATTGTCGCGACTATCCTATCATGTATGCAGCTGATATCGACTCCCAAGCTCTGGGCATGCTCGTGGTCGCTGTGATCGCCGCGCCGTTTCGACACGTACGATCTAATTGGGCAATCCCTCTCATACCGTACGTGAAGATACTAGTGCCCGGCTTCTGTGCAACGTGGCTTTGGGGGATAATAGCCCATACGGAGCACCTTGTAATATTGCTATCTCTCGGCACTCGTTCGCTTGAACGCAGCCAAGACCACGAAATGCAACCATCGTACATTCAATGAAGTCTTCCAGCTTCTGGCCTATGCCAGTAGTTGTGCTGCACTTGAAGCCTGCAGCTCTGCTGTTCATGTGAGAGAAGCTAGAAAATGCCCCCGACCCCGCCATTGAACCCTCAAGGTGGTTGGCGCCCCTTACACTTACATGTTCCTTAGCAGAGTCAGCAATACGCATTACTGACCTTTACATGGCTGCAGACCCATCCCTTTCCAATAGAATTATTCATACTTCGCGATCAGACGAGAAGAAACTTGTAATCGACGATGTCGACCACACCAGACCTAGACATGGTCGATGCCGCGCGGGCTGACTTTCCTGCCATCGAGAAGGGGGTCAATAGCGAGAAGAAGCCTGGAGCGTACCAAGGCGACCTACTCCCCACGAACGACTCACACGAGACACTGACGGGGTCTAATGGAGAGATCTACCCCACGCTGGAGGAACAGACGACCTTGCGCCGCGTCCACGGCAAGGTTTCCTGGCTGATCTACACTATCGGGTTCGTGGAGATGTGTGAGCGGTTCGCGTACTACGGGACCACCGCAGTCTGTGAGTCAGTGGCCGATGCGCAGGAGCTTTCTCATCGCTGACATGCCTGCCTTAGTCGTCAACTTCATCGCGTATCCCCTTCCCCCAAACTCGACGACTGGCGCGGGCGGTACTCTTGAACAAGCCGGCGCGCTCGGCCTGGGCCAGCGGGCGTCCACGGCTCTCACGCTGTTCAACTCTTTCTGGTCCTATGTTATGCCGTTAGTCGGTAGGCTCAAAATTCCGTTCCTCCAAGTGAGAATGAAGAAAATTGACGTCCAGCAGGCGGCTACCTTGCCGATACCTACTGGGGCCGCTACCTCACCATCCAATACGCAATCGTCGTGGCGACCTTTGGCCACATTCTGATCATCATCGCCGCTATTCCCTCGGTAATCTCCAACCCAAGCGGTGCGCTCGGAGCCTTCATCATCGGGCTGGTTTTCTTCGGGACCGGTGTGGGATGGTTCAAGGCCAACATCAGCCCCTTGATTGCAGAGCAGTACGAGCTCACCCAGCCCCGCCAAACCGTCGAGACCCTTCCTTCAGGAGAACGTGTCATCGTCGATCCTGTGATGACCATCTCCCGCGTCTACATGCGCTACTACTTCCTCATCAACGTCGGTGCCCTCGTTGGCCAGGTGTCTATGGTGTACGCGGAAAAGTACGTCGGCTTCTGGTTGTCGTATCTCCTCCCCACAATCATGTTCTTCTGCTGCCCCGTCGTCATGGTTCTCTGCCGCAAGCAATACGCCAAGCGCCCACCCACCGGCTCAGTCCTTGGAAAGTCGATCGCACTGGTAGGCTACGGCATCAAGCAAGGCCACGGTGGCGTCTTCGCAATGCGCAAGGACTCCTTCTGGGAACGCATCAAGCCCAGCGCCGTGCCCAACCGCCCGTCCTGGATGACCTTCGACGACGCCTGGGTCGACGAGGTCCGCCGCGGCGTCATGGCCTGCGCCGTCTTCCTCTGGTTCCCCGTCTTCTGGCTCGCGTACGGCCAAATCTCCAACAACCTCATCAACCAAG